GGGTACGGGTACAGATATGTACTTACCCGTCCCGTACCCGTACCCGTCCCCGTTTCCATTTTTAATTTAATACTCACTTTTAATTTAATTATATTAAAAAAAATTAATATTTTTTATGTGTGATTATTTATTATAATATGAGATAGAAAAATAATTTAATTATAATTATAATATAATAAAAAAATAATTTAAAAATATTATTTTTTTTACAAAAAATAAAAAAATTGACGGGTACGGGTACAGGTACGGGTACGGGTATACCCGATACCCGACGGGGACAGGAATGGGGATGAAAACCCCATACCCAGCGGGTACGGGGACGGGGACGGGGATGGATTTGACTCGCAGGGACGGGGACGGGTATGAGTCTATAATTTTTCGTCCCTAGCAAGAATGGAAGTGGTCTTATGAGTCTATAATTTTTCGTCTTTTAATGGCGAAAATTTCTAAAGTTGAAAAGTTGATTAACTATGTTTTTAAGTAGCGATTGATTTAAAAATGTGTGGTGTAAGATTTTTTAATAAATTAGTTGACAAATATAAAATAATATAATAAATTAATTGATAAATATAACATAACATAAAAGGATATATATAGTTATTTAAAGAAAAATAAAATTTTAAACAAATTAGTGAAGATAAGAATAAAAAAAATAATAGCTTAAAATGTGTTTTAAACAGTTGTAAGTAGTGATTGATTTAAAAATGTGCGATAAGATTTTTTAATAAATTAGTTGATAAATATAAAATAATATAATAAATTAATTCCTAAATATAAAATAGTATATTTAGTTATTTGAAGAAAAATGAAACTTTAAATAAATTAGTGAGGATAAGAATAAAAAAGGAAAGTTAATAGTCTAAAATGTGTTTGAAATAACTGTGAAAATTAAATTATTTCAAAAATAATTATATAATTTAATAGGCTGAGCAACTTTATTTTTTAATAATTTTATATATAACTTAAAAGATAAAAAAATAATGAGTTTAATTTGTATTGAAGATATTTAATTTATTTGATTTGTCAAACTCTACTATAATCTAAAAATTTTTTAGCTTGAAAACAAAATTCAATTCAATGGGTTAATCTAACAAAATATTTACCTAATATCAGAAATTGAACTTTTGTGAAACTTGATTAAGAGATACAAATTTTTGCGACTTGTATCAACTAATTTTGATTTTTTTATAAAGATAAATAAAGATTACAAATACTTTCGATTACCCAATTTTGATAATTATATTAAGTATTGATATAAAATATTAAAGTAAACTTAATTTCAGTTTTAAAACATCAACACTAAAAATATTTTTCTTTTTTACATTTGAGAAAAGAAATAGAAACGGGTAACGCTCCCGACACTGCTGCTCAACCTCCCAAGTAGCCTCACCAGTAACTGCATCCCATAATACTTTCACCAGAACAATGGACTTGCCCCTCGGCTCCTTCAGCTTATGATCCACCACAGCTACTGGCAACTTCTCAAATGTCAAGTTCGGCTTCACTTGTACATCATCCAGCTCCACCACATGACTTGGATCATGCACATACTTCCTCAGTTGGGATACATGAAACACATCGTGTAGGTTTGAAAGGGAAGGTGGCAAGGCCAACCGATAAGCAACTGGACCTACACGCTGTATAATCTAATAGGGACCCACAAATCTCGGTGTTAACTTCCGAGCCTTCATGGTTCCCTTCGCAGAATGTAACGACTCGGCTGGTCACTACATCCAGCATAACACACTAGAAATACCAGACAGATAGAACAAGTATATAAATATAGGATCTAGAATATATAAATATACAAGGTTCTAGTCTGAC